TCTGTACCCTTAACAGTTGTAAAATACAAGCAATTACCCCCGGGTGAATGAGTCATCCCTTCCTGGAATAAATTCAAACTCACCCCAAAAAGATTGTCGACCACCAGTTGTCTTTGTTAGCCATATCGTTGAGACATGTGCAGTACCAAGTACGCGAGAAGGACGATAAAAGTTTCGTTTTTGTTACGATCTTGTCTCGTTCGTTTCTTTACACACAGCGACGAAAGATAAAGGCAACAACAATGCAAACCCACAAAACTAACAAAACGTTTCAATCACCCAGTTAGTATTTAAACTAATGCAAACAGATTCCTTTACTTCTAGTCTGATAATATGAGTCAGTATAGATATTGCTTCCACAACACTACATGGTTCCTCAGAACACCTTAACACACAAAGGAAAAAACTAAGACCTTTTTTCTTCACCTGGGTGACATCTCACCCGCCAAAAAGAAAAAGAATAGTGTTGCCAATCTGTGTTACTTTAATTAAGTACCACTTCCCTCTCCTTGTGGTGTGCCAATCCCCTATACCGTAAACAAAAAAAAATTGTGTGTAACCTAAAAACCTGTGATGACATAATACCCATATCTGCAACTTTGCTCATATAATTTTTGTTTGTGCATTTTTTCAATATTATTATAACAAAAATTATATGGGCAAAGTTGCAGGTATGGGTATGCATTGATACATAGTGAAGAGTGAAGAAATGCAAAAACATTTTTTGGTTGCCTGATAACAGAATTACATACAAGATTCAACTAAAAAATGCCTATTTATGTATGATGCACTACCTACAGCATCAGTAATAGATGTGACAATTGTAAAATACTCATATGATTCAAGCACTAAATATGTTATTTGAAGTGTCAGATAAATTTTTTATTTCACTCAATAACAGGTAAACATAATTATATTTTTTAATCAAAGTGTAATTAATTTGTAATTTATAATTGAAATTAATATTTTATTGAATAAATAAGTCTATTGTATTTGTTTAGCTTTGTGTTGTGAAATTAAAGTTGTGCTATATCAGTTCCTAAATACATACAATGTAATTTAAAATTTTTGAAAATAAATTTGTTACATATTAGTTTTTAAATATTTATTGTTATTTAAAGATAATACCTTGAAATATATTTAATATTTAGTGTTTAGATGATCTAAATAATAATATGAAAATGTACAATGACTATCGATTCTTACATTGTTACAATTGTTTTATTTTTGATTAACTTATATAGAAAGAAAAACAAAAGAATCTACAAATTAACAGCAAACAATTTTTTATTCTTACAAGTCACTACAACATTCTCATATGTTACAGTTGAACTCTTACAGTTTTTATTATTATAATATTTTGTGACTATTATACAGATATAATAGTTATAAGATCTAGTATATCATTAAAGAAATAGAATTAAAATGTATTATATACTAAATGAATATTGTTTCTTAGAATTAAAATGTATTATATACTAAATGAATATTGTTTCCATGAGTGTCCTATAATAAGGGTAGCATTTTTAAGGCACTCTAGAGGCATTACTGACGTTACCTGATGTGCAATTGGACTACAATTGTAATCTTTTATATCCTGTCTGAGACATACCTGTATGTTGAGTTTTACAGTAAACAAAAAATTCTATCTGGATATGTAGCTTTTTTTGTTGAGTGTATTCCCCAATATTTATCTAAATCTGTATGATATAAATATTAAGATATTAGTATTAACAAAAGAAAGCAGATCATTTTTAGATTAACTTAGAAGTAAACATTTTTTTCTGTTGTCTTATTCTAAAAACTATAGACATAAACATACATCATCATTTTTTACTATGGAGGAAATCCATAAGAAAAACTTTAATTATTGTAAAATTAATAGTTCTTATAAAAACTCAAAAAATCAATAATCCAGCAAGTAGAAATTAATTTATCAGAAGAATTAACATTTTCAATCATATTTAACAGTCATAGTCATAGAATTATATGAGCCATTGATTTTGAAAGTGGGGCAAGTCCGTTTTTTGAAAAAAATAAGTTAAAGCTGATTCTTATTACAAATTAACATAAAATTTATGTTTTTAATCAATTCACAAAAATAACTTTTAATATCAGAATAAATTTGTTACTAGTAATTTATATCGTCTTTGATATTTATTGTGAGTTGATTTTGAAAGTGAGGCAAGTCCACTTTTCTGTATATTCCCTAGGATTATTACAAATTAATACAGAAATGTTGCAAACATATTGCATTTTTAGTACATAAAATGAAAAGTGAAGACTTCTATTCAACCAAACTTCTGGAGGAAACTTGAAAAGAACAAAAAATACTGACGGAGAAACTCAATTGGTTGAATATTTTCTGGATAAGATTTTCAAGAAATGTGCCATATAAATTGTTTTATAAAACATCCATGGAAAAAGATTCTCAATTTAAACTTGATTTATCACCAACATAGGGTAGGCCAAGTAGTTTCGGAAAAATACTATTATCATCTATAATAATCCAATGATTGCCTAAATATTCGGGCTATAATCAAATAATTAATACAAATAAATTTGGTACTAGAAGTAAGCATTATATTAACTCATCAGGCTTTGAGATGTGTATTATAGTATTATCATTATTAAATGCAAAAACTAGGCCTATTACTAAAGAAAAATATAAAGATATGATGGATTTATTACACTATGTGTAGTACCACCATCATGAATACTTTAAAAATCTGCACCATCTAAACTAAGAAATATAATTATAAGCATGCAACTTATTACTGAATATTTTTTCTTATTTTCTCCACTTTTTTCCTATAAAATTAAATTTATTTTTTGTTTTATTGTAGCTTTCCAAAAGACATGAAATGTTGAAATAAAATAAATAAAATATTCAATTTTTTTGTTGTTATAATTATATTCCATTTAAAGAAAATCAACGTTTTCAACAAATCATTGCTTTGAAAGTGAAGCAAGTCCATTGGTACTAGTACATACCAAAACCATGGTTTTTTTCACCTAACACAGATAACCATTATTGCATATTAAATTTTCATGAAATAAGACCACAAAAAATATAAAATAAGCATATTACTGCTTACAAATATTTTTAAACCCATTGAAATGCAAACCATTAAATATCTAGCAATAACATAAAATGGACTTGCCCCACTTTCAAAATCAACAGCTCATATATAGAACAAAATTTAAAAACATATGATGACTGTTAAATATATTTTAAAATGTTACCTTTTCTAATAAATTAATTTCTACTTGTCTGGGTTATTGGTTTTTCAGTATTTTTATAGTAATCTCATCTAGTTTTTTATGTAAATTTTAATTAATAGTTTCTTGATAACAAGCACTGAGTTCAGCGTTAATACGATTTTTCTTATATCGCAAGTACTTTCGGCAAGTATTACAAGGTCTGTTCAAAAAGTATCATACCTTTGGTTGGCAAAAATACATTTATTGATTTTGAGGTACAAAACCCTAATCCCCTTCAAAGTAGTCTTCTTGGTAGTGTATACACTTCTTCCAGCATTCCTGCTATTGTTGGAAACACTGCTGAAACGCATCTTTTGGAATGGCCAACAGCCAGTCCATTGCATTCCGCACAATGTCTTCTCTTGACTAAAATCAGGTTCCTTTTAGCGGCATTTTCAGCTTGGGAAATAGCCAAAAGTCACACGGAGCCATGTGGGGAGAGTACGGAGCGTGACGAACCAGAAGAGTGTTGTGTTTGGTGACGAAAGCCCGAATCAGATGCGCAGAATGGCCGGATGCATTATCACAATGAAGCTGCCAAGTTTTGATCAACCACAGATCCGGTCGTTTGCATCGCACAGCATCAGAAAGATGACGAAAGGACCTCCTGGTAGTACTCCTTTGCGATGGTTTGGCCTTGTGGTGCGTACTCACGACACACCACCCCACGAGAGTCGAAAAAACTGTCAACATGACCTTTGATATTGCTGCGGACCTGCCGCGCTTTTTTTGGCCTCGAGGATCGTCCCCGAAAGCCTGCTGAATCTTGCGAATGGTTTACACTCAGGTATCGCCAAGGTTTTTGGCAAAATTTGATGTAATATCGCTGCTCATGTTGTTCAGTCATTTTCCAACTTAGTGGAATCCGACGAGAGCTCGCTACATGTCCTCACTCATAGGTTGACTGCCAACGACTGACGCTTCCTGCAGGCGGGAAAAAATTTAGGGCTGTGCATGACTGTCCCCTCCACAACTTCACCGAAAGAGGCTTCCTGCGCATCATTGGTTTACGCGGAAAAAATAAAAGTCCGATACTTTTTGAACAGACCTCGTATATCATCGTCCTCAGGCGAAAAAGAACAAATTTGAAAATTAGAACGTGCAGAGTGTTCCAAGTAGAAAACGGAAAATTTTTCTTGTCAATTTTTAAATTATAACGTTCAGTAATTCCGTTGGTCACGTGCAACAAGCTTTTGCGGGCGTTCGAAATATCTTAAATCCACATGATTAGCAGCGCATGCGTTGAGGAGCGATCGTACTAATTGTGCGACTCTTGGCACTTTTTGCTGTTTAAACGCTGGTATAAAAATCGACTTGCCCGAAATATGGGTTACTTTATACCAGCATTTAAACAGCAAAAAGCGCCAAGAGTCGCACAATTAGTACGATCGCTCCTCAACGCATGCACTGCTAGTCGTGTGGATTTAAGATATTTCGAATGCCCGCAAAAGCTTGTTGCACGTGACCAACGGAATTACTGAACATTATAATTAAAAAAATTGACAAGAAAAATTTTCCGTTTTCTACTTGGAATACTCTGCACGTTCTAATTTTCAAATTTGTTCTTTTTCGCCTGAGGACGATGATATAATACTCGTCGAAAGTACTTGCGATATAAGAAAAATCGTATTAACGCTGAACTCAGTGCTTGTTATCAAGAAGCTATACAATTTTGGTGTGAGTGTTATTTATTTACCTGTTTCTAATTAATAGTTATTATATATTCTGTTATTTAGGGTCCTCCAGGAATAACCATTCCTATGGGTGAAGCACTTCCTGGTCCAAGAGGAACTCAAGGAGTGCCAGGAGACAGAGGCCCTCCAGGTGTTCCAGGTAAATTTAAAATATTTAAATAAACTTATTTATTTAAAAGTCTTCCCTTAAGAGCAGTTTCTTGATTCCCTTTTTTAATTTCTGACTTAAGTAATTAGTTAAGCATCATAAGTTGGATGCAATGTGTAGTGTAAAAAAATTATCTAAATATTTTACAGTTGTCTCTAAATCAAAGATTTAAATTTATCTCTCTTAATTTTTACTTTAGGAATCCCAGGATCTACGGGACCTGTGGGATTTCGTGGTTTGCCAGGCAATCCAGGTCCAGCAGGAGAAGAAGGAGCAATTGGACCTCCAGGACTAATTGTTAGAGGCGACCCAGGAGAAGATGGTTTGTTATTTATTTAATTGTTTATTATTGCTATGTAAAATATATTTTAAAAATTCAGTAAATGTCTATTTTAAATAATATGAATTCATAAAATATTTTCCATAATAAAGTGCATTTTCCACTTTACTATTACCAATTTTACATACTATTTAGTATGCTGCCACTTTTAATTTTTTTTAACTTTTTTTTTTTATTGTTTTTAGTGGGGTTATGGGGATCAATCCAGATCATGTAGGACTTTACAAAATTAAAAAAAAAATACTAAATATAAATATTTTATACCATATAAATATTTTATACCATATAAATGTTTTGTTTTATATAGGATTTCCAGGTATACCTGGTCAACGAGGAAGACAAGGACCCCCAGGTTTACAAGGTCCCAGAGGTGAAAAAGGACAACCTGGAATTACAGTATTTGGTCCTCCTGGTAGTGATGGACGTCCTGGAAATGATGGAATTCGTGGCTTACCAGGTGAAAGAGGTGAACCAGGACCACAAGGTAAATAAAGAAATTTAATGTTTAATCTTTTTCCATTGATATCTGTTTCAGAATTTATTCAATTAAGAAATGAACAATAAAGATTTTATTTTCCACAATCTTCAGTATAATAAAATTTTGATTGAATGACATTAGAAAATATAAATACAAATTTATAATGAGAATATCTAAAGAAAAATAGTATAAGCTTAGATTAACACATGCTTAATATTGATTCTAGTGAAACATAGATTAGCATAATACAAATACAAATAGAAGAAGTATGATAAAGTGATAACTTTTTGTATAAACAGACATTGAAAAAAATGTTTGTTTTTTATAATTGTATATACAGTGAAAACTGCTTAGGCGACCACCTGCATTTGACGGGCACCTGCCAAAATGGGCAAAAATTTCTGGCACAGAATAGTTTATCCATAGTGTCTTCATATAAGTTACCTGTATTAAACGACCACCTGTGTAACGCGACCGCGGGCATCGATTTTTGGTCCGAAACAACATATAACACCTGTAATAAGCGACCACTTTCGCGAATGTATCTGGTCTAAACTATTGTAAGAACCCATCTCAACAACTTTTCCGCCTCCTAATATAATGAATTAGTCTAAACTCTCGTTCGAACCCATCCCGGGCACTTCTCCCACCCTTGAAATTAGGTGCAGGTGTTAATAAATTAGTCTAGCAACAAAGGAAATTCATTTCAGTTTGTTGGAAAATGTCCGAAATGCAAAGTGCTGTCGTTAGAAGATCGTATTAAAGTTATCACAACAGCAATTAGCGGCGAAGTTTAACTGTGGGAAAACAAAATTTATTTTACCCTAGACCTACAGTATTTTCCTTGGGGGTGTAAAATATTGTACACGATACAATTAATCGGCTGATCTCATCGTTTGATAAAATCTATTTTTATTTATTTATTTTGAAGCTCATATACAGTACACGTGCGATAAATAGTTTCTGTATCAACCTACCTTATTTCCACGATGTTTTTAGAAAAATAATATCCAAGTAATTTTCGCAGGCAGAATATTCAAAAAACAATAAACGCATTAATGCAAAAATCAGTTTTACTTCCTTTTTCGATTCCGCGATTGTAATGAAATCGTATAATGAGAAAAAATAATAAAATCGTTTTATTATTAATTAATAATTTTTCTTATTGTACTTAATTAATTAAGAAAAGATTAAATATTAAAAAAATACAGTATTTTTAAAGTTAAAATAAGATTAAACTAACGAAAACCAAAAGCAAAGTGATGGAGAGATAGGAGGCGCTTGTATATTGATGACGTAATACACGTAACTGAGGAGAGAACGAAAAGAACCGAGTCGAATTAATTAAGTCGGAAAAAAAGAAAGTGTGCATTATAATCGAGAAAATGCGACTATTGTATTAATGTTTAAAGTATTGGTGTTAAATCTGTCTTATAATATCACGACGACTCCTGTAAATCGGGTTATCTGATAAGAATAAAATACAATACCAATACAGCCCTATCGTTGAAAAAATTCGCTTATTTTTGCTCATCTCGAGTTTTGCTTAATAGAAATGGCTAAAAAGTGCGCAAAATACGTACGGAAATACGGTATTACAGCAACACCTGTATTGGACGACCACCTGCCTAAAAGACCACTTTTTGTAGGAACTGTGGGTGGTCGCCATAGACAGGTTTTACTGTATTTTATCTGATGCTGTCTTAAAATTGATCTTACTATAGCTTATACTATAATTTGTCTTAAGTAATTCAACATATCTTCAAATATTTTTTAATTAAAAACTTTTTGACACTGAATGATGAAAAATTGTTAATAAATAAAAATACAATAAAACCTCAATTTAATGGACTAACTCAGACAAGAGGGTATCTGTAAAAGCCAAAAGTCTATTATATAATAATGTAGGTTTTTCCAAATGCATATGTAAAAAAATTGACAAATTAGTTAGTTCATTTGTTTTTACTTACATAGATATTTTGTGTAATTAAAATTAAAATTAATTTGTATGAGAAGTTTAATTTTACAGAAAAGTTTTTTATGCATATTATTGCTTATGTACTCACTGTAGTCCTGCAATTGTAATAAGCACGTATACAATCTAAATCAACAAACATTTTTTGGAAAATATATTTTAATTGTATTTAACTAAACAAATAATGTTCTTAAAAAGAAAACAAAATTTTTAATTTGACAAAAACAAAAAAATTCCTATTTATTTGTCTTGTATATTGAGACAATTCCAATCCTGCTCATAACTTCTGGCATAAAGTTAAGAGCAGTGATATCTTGAATTAAAAAAAATTAACCTGTTAATTTAATTACATATTAAAAGCATTTTAAAATTGACAGGGTGCTAATTTTTATGTATGAAATATTGGACTGGAAATTTTGTTCATTAAATCAAAAGTTTGTTAAATTGAGGTTTTACTGTAATTATTAACTTTCAAATGTATTCTGAAATGTACTTTTATGATTAAACACTAAATTTTGAAGCATTTTGTTTTGCTACATATAGTCTGTAGATTTAAAATCAGTGATACACCCTTGAAAAATAATCTAAAAAATTAGTAAAATTACTGAAAAATAAAATATATTGCTAAACAAAGTCATGATAGTATCTATCAATTTTTAAAAATTTTGTATTTTGACATCCTGATGATGAAAATTTTTTTTCTGAAGATCGTATTATCTGTTATTTAAACATTATATATATAATACTGTATATTGCATCTGTGAGATATATATATTTTTACAGGGGGTCCACTTACACATCTATTCAAGGACAAGAGATCTTTTCTGCATTGCACAAGTGTATGCATGTGGTGCATGCTTGTTCCAGAGCTAAAATAAATGAAGGAAATCAATTTAAGATGCAATTTAGCATAGCTTACAAATAATGTCTGACTTTAAAGTGTAAAGACAACATTGTAGAAAGTGATACAAAAATTGAGCTTTATTTTGTTATGGAACATGTTTAAAGTGACTGTCTTCAGTAGCAATACAAAGCTGTAGACAGTTGAGCATTATGGATAGCATGTATCATTCCTGGTGTTACTGTTATTGTGCTCTTGTATGCTATCTCTCCAGTTCTTCAACATCGTGCAGCACTGCTGGGTACACATCATAAACCAATGCTTTAGGTGATTCCACAGGAGAAAAATCCAGAGAGATCAGTCATGTCTGGGGAATCCGGTGGTCATGGAACAGAGCTGTGTTGTCATATCTAGTGATTGTAAAACCAGTCTGCAAGCAATTGACACATGTCTATCTGGAAATGAGTTGGTACACCATTGTGCTGGTACCAAACCTGCTATAGTTGTGTCAATGAAAAGTCATCAAGTTATTTTCCCACCATCATGTTTAGAAAGTTCAGATATCAGTCACTATTCAGGTTTCATCTGTTTGTAGAACTTGCTCTGCCTAATGACATTTTTTAAAATGAATCAATCTTTTGCTCCTGGATAGATATTTAAGTATTGTTATTTTAGCAGTGGAACAAGTATGTGGTGCGTGCTTATTCCAGTCATGAAATTCTAGAAAGATCTCTTTTGCCCCAAGACAGATGTCTTGGGGCAAAAGAGATCAAAAGTATGTATCAAAACAAACTATGTATGTACCTTGTACAGTACATACATAGTTTGTTTTGATCAATAATAAATTAATATAATTTATATCACATTTTTAATAGTTGGTATAATATTAGACAAATTCAAAATTACTCTTTCTGCTGTAATTTTCATTGTTTTTCCATTATAGATTTGATTTAATTTGATGCAAGATTTGTTACTATATTTGGTTTACAGAAAGCTTTTTGAGGCACATGCATATTTTTTATTAAATTTTTGTTTATGAATTATTTTATTTTATGTTATATAGTTATATATAAATTTTTTAATATTTTTATTACAGGTGATAAAGGATTACCTGGAATTGGTGTTCCTCGTAGGGGACCTCCAGGTCCACAAGGTCTTCCAGGATATCCTGGAGATTATGGACCTCCAGGAATACCTGGTACTGATGGACTTTTTGGTTTCCCTGGAGAGCGTGGAGATGATTGTGGATATTGTCCACCTGGAATACCTGGTTTTAAAGGTTCACCAGGAGATGATGGAAGAGATGGTAAAAAAATTTTAAAATATCTATTACACGTTTTTTTCTTATTTATTAATAGTTTATATTAAATAAAATAAGATTTTGACTTTTGGTGTTAATATATTTTTAAAAAAACAAAAAACTACAAAAACATGCAAGTACTTTTAACAGTAGTTACTTCTGTCATCCTCAAACAGAGTTAAAAAATTCAATGTTTTTTTTTTTTAATTTTATATGCCTGAAGAACAGTTTAATTTAAATAGAATCTCAATTCAAATTCAAACATAATAAAGAATTAGTTACAAAAATTAATGAGAATTGCAGTTTTTGAGTGAGCATAAATAAACACGTTAGTAAAAATTCAATACTAGAGATGAAATTATCACAAAATACATGGAAATTACATTAAAATAATGATCTGGTGATTTCTATAAACTGAGAATTATTGATGCAAACAATTAATAAATTTGTGAATTATATTACATTCTTAGGACCAAATATGCTAGAATATCTTTAATAGTGTGGAGGATTAATACAGTACTTTATAAAGAGACAAGCAGTGATCAAGAATGTCCAGAATTGGCCAATTACATTGTTGCATGTAGTTAATGAGTAAAAATTTCCACAAAAAGTACTCATTGATTTTTGCACTGCTTGAAGAGTTGTATGTACACAGGGATAAAAATTACATGTTAAAGCAAGTGTGGATAGCTTAATTGTTTGTTTGTGCTGTCTTATATCTGTTTGGTGTTCTTTGAGACAGCATGCTAGTGTTCCAGTCATTGCACTGATTCAGTATTATGTAGTAACATTGTTCTATATATCTTTAGAGTTACCTGATAAATGCCTTGATAAATGTGCATGGGAATCTGATAATATTCCTGTTGTAAGTCGAGGGTCAACAAAATCTTTTTGCCATGCAATATTTGTATAAGTCTTAAATGTTTGGTTATGGGCACTGGATTGGGCTATCCTGAATGGGGAAATGTTTGTATTGAGTTTAGAATGAATTTCCGCTATCTGAGCTAGTAGTTCACAGACTGTAGTGACCATTTGCAAAATATCAGTTCTAGACTGGTCTGTAGTCAAGTTGTTCTGGATGGTGTGAACAGAGTTGTGAGTATATGAGTCCATTATTTCCCAAATTTTGTCTGCCATAGTAGCCAGAGTGGATAGTCCTTCATTACTGGCTAGAAGGATCTGCTGAGTCTATAGTGGGAGCCTTTGTAACCAAAGAGAATGAATTATATCATCTCTTATCTTGCTCATAGCTAGTTCTCATGTTCTATGGAGTATCTGGGATGGTTTCTGGTCTCCAAGCTTGAGGTTTGGGGTGAGGAGATGTAATCACCATTCCTCTGAGTCAGTGAAACATTCTATGAGTTTAGTCTTTAGTGCGTTGTACATATTTGTTGTAGGTGGATGCTGGACATTATCATATACTTGTGTAAGGACATCAGTTTCAAGTGCAGCCACAACGTAGTGGAATTGTGTTGAGTCAGTTGTTATTCCCAAGATGATGAAATGAGACTCTCTACTTGTGTAAAGTATAATGCTGGATTTGCCTTCCAAAATTGGGCTGCTTTGAAGGCAACATGATGAATCTCGTTGGAGGGAGGCCAAGTATCTTCTGCATTCATTTTTAGTGGGAATGAAGATGTTCTTACCTCTGCTGTCAAATGTGTTGCAGAAGGTAACATGATGAATCTCATTGGAGGGAGGCCAAGTATCTTCTGCATTCATTTTTAGTGGGAATGAAGATGTTCTTACCTCTGCTGTCAAATGTGTTGCAGACGAAAAACGTTGTATAGTTCAAAGTTTGGGTCACCAGTTGTGTGGTCGTCTTGGAATTTGTGTTTGCCATTGATGGTAGTTAGCACAGATAAAACAAACAATGCTGAGGTAACTAAACAAACATTTTATTTAACAAAGAATGTTGTATATTGCTCAGACCATACGTACAAGACTTTTTGCGAGCTGATGACAAATATCCTTTTTCTCTTTGGCACACACTGACCACTCACGTCACGTGGTCTTTTTCTTTGTATTATGTACATACACTTCACTTTCCAAAATACTTATTTGTCAAAATTTCTTAGAACAAAATTACAACTTGCAAATCTACATTCATCAAAGAACAGTTTTTTAAATCCTCACAATTTTGTGATAATTGTGAGGAATTATCACAAAACTTTCATTTTATTATTTGTTTAAGTTTAATTTAATACCAACAAAACAACATGTTTTATGAAAAAAATTAATATTTTTGATTTTCAGGTCTTGCTGGTCCTCCAGGATTTCAAGGATTACCAGGGCCTCGTGGTAGAAAAGGAGAGCCAGGAAATCCTGGGTTTCAAGGAATTAAAGGATATCAAGTCAGTAAAAACTTTTTATAAAGAACAATGTTTTCTGTTCTTAATACATAAATTTCAAAGTCCTTATTAAAATGAAGTTTGCATTTTCAACAGAAGTTGAAATTGTAGTATTTCATTAAATTAAAAAAGAAATATAT